CCCTGCCTCACCATCATCATTATCATCACCGTGAATAAAGCGCGGTGCGGCTGATCACAGCTGGGCATGCACAGCGAAGCCTACTGACCTGAATTCGATGCGCCGGCAAATTTATCTCGGATAAACTGACAAACACACGGTACCTCTAGGTTACTACCCCGCTCACTTCCCCTCACGTGCACTAACTTGCATAAGCATCGATAGTCGAAACGTTCCTCCACTCGCAAATTCAAGTTCTCATAAACATAAAGTGAACGACCAGTGGCACTATGCACATGACCTTTCAACTTTGATGAAACGTCAATCACGTCTACGCCAAAGTCGTTTCAGTCCAGGAGGTGAATTTCCGACATTATGCAGTCCGAAGTTGCCTGCACGTCCACTTTGATCTTTGGTTAGATTATATCTTTCCATTATACCTTGTTGCATCGGAAGCCTTAGTTCGTAAGACGGACTTATAAGAGATACACTGTGATAGTTGTGTAGCTCCCGCTTGCTGTAATGCTTTAGTTGCCCACATCTAGTAAGGTCCTCACTCCAACAGGTGGTGCTTGTTATCTGCCGTTAAGTTCCGTTCCATTGATTGACTTACCCCCGTGGATCGCTGGAACACAAGATGTGACACTTCTCAGGAACGCCGTAGGGAGTACTAATGATGGTCTATAGAGATTCTCGGTAATAGGATTACAAGCGATGTTACCAGCACCGTTCGACCTTTGTTGTTTGAGTTTACACCCGTGGGCTGTGAACATCCAAGTGTAGCCTGCAAAATGGCACGGGCAGTAACCCTAATAGGGGGCGAATCACATTTATCGCTCCCCTGTACCGTCGTCGAACTCTTGTGGCGTTTTATTAGGAGGACGCTTGCAAAGCGAAAACCTAACCCACAACATCGGGCACTGCCGCTGCTCGTCGACAACCTTTCTGTTCAGGGAATCTCGATCTAACTTATTCACGGCAGGTCAACATATGGTGATCATTCCTTTGTCCAAGCATTAGAGGCGCACCAGATACCATGGGGTTGGAGCCGATAGCTCCCTCCTTCGAAAACGGAGTGTGCAGTTGCCAATTTATCAAAAGGAAATCAAGGGATATTATGATTTCATTATCACTGTTTATGACACTTATACGTGTATTTTGTATAGGGAATCCATTTGAAGACTTTTCCATGCGCCGGTAGGAATCAGTTTGTTGTAATCCTTCGGTCTATCGATCCTTCTAATTCTCTGCTCCCTAAACCTGATTTGTAGGGAAATGTACTTGGTCAAAATGCCTAACTTTCTCTCCGTGGAAACGCGTCCGTTCGATCCAAATTTCTATGAAGATGAATTGGATGAGGACGAAGTATTGGACGAGGAAGGTCGGACGCGGTTGAAACTGAAGGTGAGACTGTTTGTTCAAGTGTGTGCGTGTGCGTGTTTTCCCGACACATTTTCACACCGTTTCCGTTTGTCGGTTGGAATGGATGGCCCTTGTGAGCATACATATAGTTGTGCAACCACCGGGAAACGGAAGGGCCACAAATCTTTACTCTTCCCAGATAGACCAATGAATTGATTTGTCCAAATAGTTACCCGCATGATGTTTCCGTGATCTGGTCGAATATCAGTTTGCCTCTCCCCACTCCCCTCGATTTCAAGCGTGTCAAATATTCTAGAGTCGGCAGATACTAAATTTACCCCAGATCCGTAGAGGCTACAAGTAAGCGCTATTTGAATTTCGTATAACCGCACGAATTAGCCTCGATACTGGCCGGATTCCCAGATGATAATGATGATCGTCTTCCGATAACGTTCTTCCAAGTAGCGATTCTCTAGGTAGCCAAATGGTTATACATCCGGTAGCGTGCAGGAGTTCATTCATTGTTTAATAAGTGTAGTTTTCTTTTAAAGAAAAAAGGAAGGAATGACGGAACAAACCCCATAGTCACAAAGACCTGATGTTCAGTCATGGAAACCGGCAATCTACATAAACTCCTGGACTTGGAGTGGTAAACCACATAAGGCCCCGGGCGACAGCAGAGCTGTCTACCACCAAAGTTGGGTGGCGGTGGCGGGGCTCGGATTGTGGGGGCCCAAAGCACGCCTGTGACAGTAACTAAACCAATGCGTCACTAATATTCACAGGATATCGATAATATATTCATTGGGTCGTACGTGAAGACTTTCTCAGTTGTACAAAGCAGCTTTTCCGAAACTAGCAACCCCCCTTTTGGATGGTGATGACGATAGTTCTTAGGTTTGTAGCAAAGTAATTCGTTGCATCATGTGACTGAACGTTGATATCGATGGTGAGTGATGCTCAGTTTTGGCGTGCTCAAATACCAGTCTGAATAGATATGGTGGAATAAGTTTTTTTCGTTTTTTGTTTCTGCACCTGTTCAATCCCGTTTATGTGGTAATCTGAACAACAGGAAATCGTTAAATCAGAAGAGATGCGCTCATACCTCCGGAAAGATCGTTTGCTATATTAAGCGTGCATGTACATGGGCCAGTGTCAGGATTATCCTTTATTGGGCGATGTGACCCAGTTCGAAATGATCAAACGAGTTACTCACTGCCGCCCCTTATCTGTCGGCTGATCTCCTCAAGTCCCATAATGCTGCACACCAGCCGTGTGCGAATTAAACCGATTTTCTGTTGTGTTCAAGATTAATCGAAATTGATGTAATACACGCATTTTATATCCCGCTAACTGTAGCCCGAACTGCAGCTTTACTGTTCTGTCTACTCTGAATTCATCACGATTAAAATCTTGGGTCCAGCTCTGACCATCGCCGGTCTCTGTTATGTCATTTACCGTTTCCAGGTGGAAAATACTATTCGGTGGCGTTACGGACAAACTCCCGAGGGTGAACTGGTGCACGAATCCAATGCGCGTATTGTTCGCTGGTCTGATGGTTCATTATCATTGCATTTGGGCGATGAAATTTTCGATATTCACAAAGTGGACATTCACTCGGATTACAATTATCTGTTCATCCGTGAAGGTAGCGGTCTACAGGGTCAGGCTAGTCTGCGCACGAAATTCACTTTCAGGTACAGTTCTATTCCTCGTATTTGTCATCTATGTCTATCTGATTACCTGTCTGTCTGTCTGTCTGCCTGACTGTCTCTCTCTATATATATCCAAAGTTTCCTTGGTAACGCAATTGATCTATTTTAATGATAGTAATAATGATGATAATCACCTTTTTACTTCCTTTCGTTTAAAAAAAATCGGCACGGTCAATTTTCACGAAGGGGATAGCGGTCTAATTGAAAGCTGCTTGAGGAATGCAAAAAACGGGGTAGATGGACTGCGGCCGGATTAGAACTCACAACCTGTGGGTCGCTGGAACGATGGATGACCTTAACTGCTCGACCGCCGCCCCATCTTCAATATGGCTGATTAAAATCACTACCACTACTGCGTACTGTTATTATTATTGTAAATTAGCTCAATTTAACAGTTTTCGCAGTATGTTTGATATGCATTATCCAAGATACCCCGTTGGACAAATTAAATGGCATTTGTGTGGCGATGATGCAATCCAGATGATTTTCTTTAGTTCAGACAGGAAACAGACCGTGTCACATGAGAAAAATGGTTCGGGTGGTGGTGGTCAGGTGTTTAGGTCACCAACTTGGGAGTCCCGGGTTCGAACCGCTCCACCGCCGCCCATCTTCCCTAATTCTGTATTTTCCACGCAACCTTTGTATGGCCGCAGTCTCCCTTCCTGAATGTTGACTGTACATCTGTATATCCAGCAAACGAAAAAGGAAGTAAAAAGACATTTATTATTTATAACTGTTACTGTTGTTGTTTGGGCTGTCCGCGTGAATCTATCGTGCTCCGCACAGCCTGTTTCGTTCGTATTCGTGTCTCCTGTGTCTCATTTGAATGACTACTCATGTTCTTCCTATTCGACTTGTTCCCTCCCTCTGTTGACTGAATTCCGCGCGAATTCGGATTTAAAGCTTTGTAGGATGGCTGGGATATTCCACTTCTTATCACACTTTCGGTTAGTAACATAAAAATCCGTCTTTTGTCTGTCATGCAGTTTTGTTTCAACCGTATTATTTTTTTCCGTTTTTCAAACTTCATTCTTATTTCTGGCCAAATTCCGACAGCGTACGTGCCATGATGAAAGTCACCCAGCAATGAGTTGCAATGGACAGAAACTAGTGCCGGTATGGAAGAGGGGAGTTCTACAGTGTTTTTTGTTTCTGTTTGAGTTACTTCCAAATGAGAATTGACATCGAAACAATTCTATTTGGCTAAGCCAAAGGGGGAGTCAGTAAACAGTTTTAAAAGCAGCATTAATTTGATCTCACTGGCGTGTGCGCGGGAGAGGGATTCGTCTATGAACTGTACCAACGAGCAGACCATTTCAAACGTACATCCACTGCTCTCATGTTGTTTCATCCTCTCTCCCTCTCTCTGTTTCCCTCGCACTCACCCGTTTCGATTGTTGCACACTCTTCTCACAGGCCACACTCCACTGACTCGTTCACACACAGAAAAATCACACTGTCTCTCGCAGATAAGACCAACAAATCACAAAAGGTAAATGCACCGCTCCGGTTATTTATCATGTGTACTATTCTGTTATTATATTATATATATTCACACATTTCTCACGCCAAACTTTGTGCCAAATAAATCACGGTACAATAACCTTATGGGAAAAGAAAAGCGCTCTTTGTGGGCCTAATACTGCCGGGTTGCCCAGGCCCAGACAGGTAACATTTACAACCGCAGCCTTCGACTAGGCAAAACCTTACCCGTAAAGCAGCACGGGACGGTGTGTGAAAACCGCGTTCCATTGGGGACCGGTATCCAAAGCATCGGACGGGGTCAAACGTCCAAGAGGTC